AACCATGTGATGAAATGATTGTTATATCTTTGTAGATATTATTGACACTGCAAACATCGCTGCCTGGCCAAAAATTACAGTGAATCAGGTTTGACTGTAAGTGGGCTACAGATCTAACTACAGAGCTAAATCGTGGTTACACACAGGTTACGTATTGAACATGTCAAAGAAATGAAACCAAACACCTTGTAAACGCTGTTACTTTGCTTACATGATGGAATATCATACATCTCACAAGTTATTTTGCCAAAAAACGACATGAAACCAAATTCAAGGTTATTTGGGCTAGAAGCGGGTTACACATAGCCGGACTATATCGGGTCTATACTTAACAGAGACGTTGAAATGACGGCTATTGCTTGCTGGGCGACTTTACTGACGAGATGAGCGTGACAATCGCATGCGATTAATTGCACAGCCCTATTATGCATTATACAGAGGCAAGATGAAAAGAAAAAATACCATCTAAACTTTTCTAAAGACCGTAAGTTTCCCTCAGACATACATTCATATAAACTCCAACCCCTAAATGAATCGCGATCTGAATCGTCACATATTTGAATCGATTTTCAGCTGGCTCACGGTTAATCGTTACATCCTTATTAGTAATCTTTTAATCTCGAAGATCAAAAGATGGTTAATTTAGCCCAATGTGTCAATTTATTCTCCCCCCAGTATCTTTAAAGGGTCATGAAACCCCAGACTACTTTTTCTGAGATTTTAGCAGAGGTGTTTGTGTTGCACATAGAAGACAATGTTAGCATCTGATAATTTTAACTGTTGGAGAAAACTGGTTAATTTTGGTTAGAGTTCGACTAATGTATGTTTCTGTTGATGGATACAAATTCTGGCTTCCCAATACATTACAACAAGAGCGATGAGAGAGAGAAAAAAACAACACGTGGACAAACCGGTCACTCTTTAATCAAAAAGAATAACTGTCATTTATGCCGTCATCACGTGTTGATAGCGCAGGTGAGACCTGAACAGCACACGTTACTATCTGTGTTTAAACTATACTCTTTTAAGCCTTGTCAGTTTAAAGATTAAATTGAAATATTAAATATAAATTTTTTTTATTAGATATTATATTACAATATTAAAGAGCCAGAAGTGAACTCGTGCGCGCGCACAGTGAGAAGATCTGTGTGTGCGCTCATCCGAAGCGCGTGAACCCGCGTCTCAGAACGCGCGCAAATATTAAAGGGATAGTTCACCCGAAAATGTGATGCTTATCTGCTTACCCCCAGGGCATCCAAGATGTAGGTGACTTTGTTTCTTCAGTAGAACACATTTGATGATTTTTAACTTTAACCGTTGCAGTCTATCAGTCATATAATGGATGGCTATGGTAACAAAATCTATGAGAGTAAAATAAACATGCACAGACAAATACAAATTAAACCCTGCGGCTCGTGACGACACATTGATGTCCTAAGACACGAAACGATCGGTTTGTGCCAGAAACCGAACAGTATTTATATATTTTTTTACCTCTAATACACCACTATGTCCAACTGTCTTCGAACGCACGCACTGCTTCCGTAGTTTAAGTGATCTCTCGCGCGTATACGTCACTTATTGTTTGCACAGTCATTGCGGTGTTCCCTGCCACTGTGAAGATCTAAAGATATTTAGATGTACAGGTAATCACAATGGAAGACGATTTTGATATATCAACAGACCACGTGGATTTTTCTGCCCAACTGTATTTATTTGAACCAGAACACTCAGATCAAGAACTCAGAGAGATGGAGGAAGCATCTGCTGCAGCAGCATGTCTTCAAGCCTCGGAGAGACAGAGATCTCTTCAAAAGTGGTGGTGTTCTTGTAGTAAGTGTTGTGAGATGCCAACAGAAGTGGAGAGCATCTGTTGTCACGAATGGAACATAGCAATGCCATAACTACAAGACGCCGACGAGGACATTGCCGAGGGTGTCCCATCACACCTGCCTGACTGAAGATCCAGACTTTTCTCCGCTGTTGAGCCACAGTGTTTTGCACGTTGTGTTTAGCTTGCCACGTATAAACTGGAGGCGACGTCCAAGGCCAGATGAACCCAATGGCACGCTGTCAATAGAGTGAGTAATGTGTTGTATTTGTAATGTTATTGCAACGATTACAGGGGTGCATATGAACAAATGAGTTTATTATAGTGTTTGCCTTATATTTCAGTCAGTGTAGGTTGGTGGCGTATCGTGTGGTTTTGGAGTGGATGCTGAAGGGGGAATATCTGGGCAGAAGAAATAGAAAAGTTTTACCCTCTTGTGTGGTGAAAGCCATCCGCGAAGTTATGTGGGCTTCACAGAAGCAGACAATGCATTTGCAATGTTGTAGAAATTTGAATTGAACTCTTATAATTTGTAACTATGTTCTATATATTTTCTATATTTATTACTTGTAAGCCTATAAAATGTAAGCCTTTTTCTTGTCTTATAGTCATTACCATTTATCGATTTATGAGCAATGACTTTTTTTTTGGCTGGTGTCATTATAACGTAAATTTCAGTTGTCTTTGATTTCCTAAAATAAAACAAAATTGTCAATACATGTTCTTTTCTATGTGCAATACTAAACAGTCAGTACTTATAATGGTTTCATTATATAGAGATAGACAGACAGTTAGAATAAAGAGTAATGACACATTACATGAAAGCAAGTATTTTACCAGTTTAATTTTCTTTATCTGTAGATTCACAAATGAACAGTTACAAAATTACAGATTTTTTTTTTAGTTATAATAGGTTTTAAGTTGTTTATAAGTAAATAAGGAACCAAATGCAATACGATGTTTAATAGATCAATTATAATTTAAATCTCAATTACTGAATTTTTCCTATACATTTTTTGTTATATACTCATTTAGTTATTTAACAGATAGATTGACTTTTAGATACTACTTTAACAGGCGATGTCAAACATACACACACACACTCCTAAAGAAAACCACCATGCAATGTGGAACTTATTAGTGTCACTTCGTAAAGTTAACCTACACTGTTGTCGGTCTGTAAAAAAAACTACTGTGAGAATCGTGACAAATGCTTTGCGACTGTGTCTTCCTTAAATGGTTTGGTCTGCTGCGATATGTTTTTTGGGACAGCTTGTATTGCCAAATGTGAAGAAGAGTCCTTGTAAATAATAGTGCATCCATGCGCCTCTCAAATACTCGTCTCTGAAATTTTGAGTTGGGGACTCGTACAGTTTTCTGGCCACCCACTGTTTAGAGTGCTTGGGGAACACTACATTGAACCGTGGCATACCTACCAAAAAATAATAATAATTTATATTTGTACTGAAATATTACATTACAATCAGTGATGTATTGTATAGCAAACTTACCAGTGTTGGTTCTGGCTTGCTGTCTGTGAACATTCTCATTGTGGTCAAGCACTGCCACCTGGGTACGTGCAAGCATTGATGTGTAATGGAAGTGTATTCTTTTGGGGCAGTACTTCAGGAGCAGTGAATGGAACACTTCAAGCTTACCTGATAAAAAATAAAATAATATAGTGTTCAGAAATGTTCTTGCTCTGTACATGTACATACATTATACATATGTAAACTAACCAGTATGCTTGAAAAGTGCCATCTGCCTGAGGTCTTTCAGAAGACCCTTGTCTAAGACAAGGTTCTCTAATGTAATGAATGCCCTGGACTTTTTATCAAGCCATTTTTTTTTCTCTGCTCATCAGGGGTAAGCTCGCTATGCAGACATCTTCTTTCTTCTCCATCTTCTGTCCTGGAATGAACCCCACAAATGTAGTGCAGAAGTGACTTCCACCTTTTGATCAGCTCCTGATAAATTTGAAGTAAATATTTAGCTGTCTTCTACAGTTTATTTCATAAAAACCAGTTACAGAAACACAGACTTACATCCGGGTCACCTCCACAAGATGAACATGAAAACCACAGATGATTGCTAATGCTCTTAATCCATGGCTGAAGTGGTCTGTTGTCTTTGTATCTGGATACCGAAGCCAATTTCTTGATCATTCCTACAAGAAAAAGAAAATGTTAATCCGCATCCAAAAGTATTGTTCAACATCACAGTCATAGTCAACTTTTGACTATAAACTAACTAGTTAAACACTCGCCGTAACACTGGTCGTACGTGATGCTCTCCTGGGTATGTAAAATCATCAGGGGAAAAATTATCGCTGTAGACCCTCAACAACTTTAGTACGTTAATGTGTGTGTTGATATCCAGCCGAAGAGCAATCAACCATAACTTCCGGCGAGCAGGCTCAGAAGTTGGGAATACGTGGAAAGTCACCCCCGGAAGCAGTGCGCGCTGGAAGACAGTTGGACATAGTGGTGTATTAGAGGTAAAAAATTATATAAATACTGTTCGGTTTCTCACACAAACCAATCGTTTCGTGTCTTAGGACATCAATGTGTCGTCACGAGCCGCAGGGTTTAATTTGTATTTGTCAGTGCATGTTTTTTTACTCTCATAGACTTTGTTACCATAGCCATCCATTATATGACTGATAGACTGCAACGGTTGAACTTAAAAATCATAATTTGTGTTCTACTGAAGAAACAAAGTCACCTACATCTTGGATGCCCTGGGGGTAAGCAGATAAACATCACATTTTCATTTTTGGGTGAACTATCTCTTTAAACTCTCTGTGAAGTATTGTGTTTGAATGAACAAATTCACACAAAAATTATGTCACATTAAAAATGCCCGTCTTGGTGAGTATCCTGGATCAGTGCGTTCTCTTAAAGTGACAGCACTTTCTTAATGTTAATCAAACAACAACAACACGGAAATCTCTCACTGCTCTTGATTGAATAACTTTTGTAACTTTAATAAGGATTAATCTCTAATTTATACAGTCAAATATGCAGTGTTATTTTACATTTGTTTTATTTCAATTTCTGTAAAACTGTTAGACCTACCTAAAAAAAAAAACTGAAAAGCACTGTTTATTTTATTTGTATCTTTTTTCACTGTTTATTTATTTGTGCTGTTGTTTGTAGTTAGATTATTTGTTCTTATTTTCTTTATTTTTATTTGACTATTTTTTCCCTAAACATAGCACATACCGAACCGTACCGAAACCGTGAGTAAGTTGAACCGTTGCACCCCTAGCACACACAAACATGAACACATGCTGAATTGAGTGCTGTGCTTGCCTGTGATGAGGAGATTGTGAATGAAAAAAAATAATATTAGTCGAATTTAAAATAAATATTTGCATTTGAATGTTAGGAGTGCGTCAGGGACCGTAATCAGTGGCACACGAGATGCGGTAATGATGTAAGTGAGGTTTTTGCATTTTTATGTTTTGTTAGTCTAGCCCACGAGATGCGCCGCTGCTGTGTTATGCATGAACAATATTAGAAAAATATAGAAGCTCAATGTGGAGAAGATCTTGATTAGGTGAAAACCGAAACCAAGCCATTCACACACATGCATATTCAGCACATTTTTTAGACGGACAAATATGGCTGCTGCACTCGCGTCTCACACAGGAGATGTAGAAAGCCATGCAAAGTTAAAACAGTTTAAACTTGTAGAAAACATGTCGCATATTTGTGGAGATGTATTCCTTTTTACTGAGTCTCTTATGTTTTTAAATGCAATCTGCGTGATGGGCGATTCAGCTCTTTGTATTAAGCAATGCATAAATACATGATTCTGTGTTGTTCATAATTGTTTATGCAATTTACGAAATTATATTTGATTTATATGAGTTAATTTAGACGTAATGCACGTTTTTTTTATTGACCGTTATTTCCTTGCGTTGGCAATTTAAATGTGCTGCATTATTTTGCTCATTGCGCCCTCCTGTGGCCTCGGGAGACAAGCCAAAAGTTTCCTTAAGACCTATTTAATCTGCGTATAAAACATTAGAAATTAGATATTTGTTTAATGTTTATTGTGTGTTTGACTGTAAAAAAAAAAATTTGTTGTCTCAATAAATTGGGTTAATTTAAAAATACAGTGGTTACATTTTTTAAAAAAATTCTATTGCTCTTTGTTTTAAAAAAAGGTTATAAAAAATGTAAATAAGTATCAATACCGAATGATATGAAACATTATATCATTGATCATTTTTTTTAGCTATATCGCTCAGCCCTATGTTGACGTCACAATTTGTCACAATCGATGACGCGTCGTTGTCTATTAAATTATTCATGAGACTGCGTGTTCTTATCCTATGAGAAGACGCTTCGCTTAATTATTCACAACAATGTGTGTTGATTTGCTATGACAGACGCTTCAGACTGTGAGATGACATCGCACACATTAACTAAGAGAAACGTTTATGGATCTGAGGAGAGTGTTTGTTTTTGCTTTGTAATAAGAGTTTGACAAACGCAATTCATTCATTTAGTGAGTGTAACCATTTTTACAGCTCCGTGACAACCTGTCAAAAGGCTTATATAAGCGCAGCAGAATAAGCCTTAAAAGTGATCAGAGGTGCAACAGCGCATTCATATATATGTTTTCGATACAGAGTGCAAATGGCTGTGCATTTATTTAATAATAATAATGATTCCTTACATGTATATAGCGCTTTTCTACAGCATACTTTCATCTTATTACAAAGCAAAAATATACACCGCTAACATTGTCTCAGCTTCCGGCTTCGCTACCGTTCGGACGTTCTTACTTACTGCTCTGCGCTTTGCTCCCTATTTTTGTACTTTTCTCTGATTTTTCTAAGATTTTTACTTCAGCAGATCAGCACAATGCTCAAACAACCCATCTTTGGCACAAACACTAAAATTAAAAACTCTTTGGGACTGGAATAATACCACGAAAAAGAAGACTCTTTGCCTCCCACTGCCAGCAGCTTACATTTCAGAGACGGGAAAACACAGCTGTCTACATTCAAACAGAAGAGAAAGAAAATGCCTCCTGTTGAATCTACTTGCTGCATGAACTGCCATAAACTTCTACAACGGACTGTGGTTCTTGAAACAAAGTTACTTGCTGGACTTCAAAAACAGGCAGAACACTCAGCAGACCGTCATCATGGACCCCCTCAGCATACAGCCGGTGAGTCCTGTGAATCTATTGAATCTCAACAGTTTATACCAAGTGTAGAGGAACAAGCCGAAACTGATTGTCACACTAATCGATGGCACAAAAAGGGAGTGAGACCCAAAGGCAGTAGAGACATCAGATTGTCACGAGTTTCTCGTATTGCTGCCGTAGCATCCTCTACCCCAGATACGGCTATGACAAGGCTTGTGAATACTGGTATTCTACCACCCCCTATACAGCTTGAGAACAGATTTGAAGCATTAATGAATGTGGGTGAGGAATCCCCAAATGTGATTAAACATGGATCGGATGAGCCAGCAGCTAACATCGCTATTAACAGGCGCTCACGGTCGAGCAGACAGTGGCTTTCAGCTCCGAGCGCAGCCGAGCCCAGGACTCTGATAGTGGGCGACTCTATTATCAGAAATATCAGTAGCAGGACTACAACTACATGCTGCTTTCCTCAAGCAACCATCTCTGATGTGAACAGGGAACTTCGGAACATTCTGATGAAGCACAAGACTGCAAATCAAATCATCATCCATGTGGGGAAGAATGATATTCGGAAAGAGCAGTCAGAACTCCTTAAAAAGGACTTCAGTGAACTCTTTGAAACACTTCGAAGACTTAAAGTTCAATCGTTCATCAGTGGACCACTCCTAGCAAGGAGAACTAACATGTTTTCACGGTTGCTTGGACTGAATACATGGCTACAAAGAACCTGCAGTATGAAAGGAGTGAACCTCATTGACAACTTCAATCTTTTCTGGGGCCATAGACAACTGTTTAAACCGGATGGCCTCCATCCAAACTAATTTGGTACAAGAGTGCTTAAGGACAATATCTACTTCTCCCTCCGTCATCCTTCAGCAGAGTGTGCCAATCCACTCAACTTGAATGGCACACACACACCTGGACAAAGTATGAGTGACGACAGGACTTCATATCAGCTTCCAAGTCGTCATGTGGTTGACATATACCACAAGGACACTGATAACGCCACGCAGCCAAATCAAGCACTGCTCATGGACATCCCGGCTGAGCCCTGCCCACAGAGTAGGGGTGGGCGCTATACCGGTATGATAGTGACTACCGGTATTATGTTGTTCCATGATATGGGTTTTGCTATACCGTGGATACCGTTATATATTCATGAATTAAAATTTTGCATTTATGTGTTCAATTTGGTACGCTTTGCAAATTTGAACACAAATGATGATAAAGAGTTGAGGCTGAACGTTTTTGTCCTCTGTGTGCAACGCCATTCTACACAGGCATTAGTAATCAAACACATAGAGCATTATAACAGACCAAATTAATAGAGCGCAAATCGCCTACTCCAGTGGTTCCCATACTGAGGGATCGTGTACAGTCAGCAGATTATTTTGCAAAATAAACCTCTGCAGGGTGATAATGATTACACTGCGTAATTTTCCCACTTATCATGCAGCCACTTGTCTGATAAGTAAATAATTGAGCGCAAATATTAATTTGACATATTTTAATAACCTCAACATGACTCGCAGTACCCACTTGAGCGCTCTGTTATCAGTTGTGGTTGTATCAATAACAGACCACTAGTTGGCGCGATTGAAGAATCAGAGTTGTATTGCAGGGAGGGAGCCATGTAGAAATATAAATGAACGATGCATGGTTCTTCTCTGAGCATGCAAGTTACAAGTTTGTGAAAGGACTTCCAGTGCCAGGTAAATGTAAAGCAGATTATGAATATACTTAAGATTTACAAATACCAAAACATCATGTCTACACCAGACGCGAGCGGCGCGACGTAATAAAAGCAAAAAGAACCCAGTGATACTCTCTGCTGTGGACGCGACAAATCCATGACAGTAAACTGATGCCGCGTTCTATTTCTATACCATTTCGAATATTCATAAGAGAATCGTGAAAAAATTGTTTCCTCAAAAATATTAAGCAGCACAAACGCTTACAAC